TTGGTTGTGTGTTAATTCATCTGTTTATAAAGCAAGCTGACATTTGTTATTCTTTCTGCCTCGAGGCCGGCAGTCTCATCCAAATCGGAGCTGTCCGTGCAGCATATGTTGTATAATTTTCCAGACTGGCGTTTTGGTGGTGGTTGCGGTGTCAGGCTGCAGAGGCCCAAGCTTTGTCTGTAACTCTGCCCAACCGGAAAGGTATAGCAGGCACCTTAAAAACCCTGCACGCATTGCCCGTTACAAGCAGATCTCCTGTTTAAACAGGCTGAATGCAGCTGGGTCTGTACTGGTGCTCACTGCACGCAGGCTGTGAGCAACGCCAGGGCGTTTGAGGTCGCCTGATGTATTACCCCACATCGCTGCTGTAGTTTTCTTTGGCCCTGCATTGTAAACTGGATTCGATTCCAAGTGTGTTTTCTGTTCTCATGTCCGTCTTCCCACGTTCTGTTCTTTGGGTCGCACTTTCTTCAGTCTCAGTGTTGTGCGCTCTAGGATGAAGGTTTTGTCTGTGTTGCCTCCCAAAGGCCCTGGGTTTTTTTATTGGGCCTGTCCCCAGGGCATCTAGGCTCCCTGCCTGGCAGCACATTGTAGGGATGTGTGCACCCCTACTTAGTATGTGCCTGGCCTGGGGAGTATCCCAGCCCCTCGCTGTTTCCAGCTACTCTTCTGGTAGGATGATGGTGTGGTTCTGGTTTGCAGGTGGGGAAACTGAGCCTTGGCACTGAGAGCCCATCTACACCGCTGTGTGCTGGCCCCAGGAGCACTGTCCAGGGGCATACCATGTACCTCTTCCTTGCCACGTGCATCGAGGCCGTGCAGCTGCCTGCACACGCACTCATGGCGTGCTGCAGTTCGGTCCAGGCTGCTCTGAGGCGTCCGCGTTGCCTCGTTCCAGGCTCTGGCGTGCACAGAGTGGGAGGGAGCGGCAGGGCGTGCACCTTGGCTATGCTCCTGGCCTCAGCCTGGGTCTATGCTGAGTGATGGCTCTGCATCTCCTCTGCAGGGCCCTCCTCGTGCCACTGCTTGGCTGCGATGACTGCACACACCTGGCTCCTTGCACTCCCTTTCCTGTCTGCTGCCAGCTCTTTCTTCTGTCTTGGACTGCAACTGCAAGGCCTTCGAGGCAGGAGCCACCTCTCTGTGCTGTGTTTGTACAGTGCCTAGCGCAGCAGGGACCTGGGCCATGGCAGGTGCAGGATATCAGCCCTAGTTCCCAGGCTAGCACTCGGCACGGGGCAGTCCTTCCCACTCAGCCATGGTTGTTGTAGTGAACACTGAGATGACAGGCCGGGCAGATCTTTTCCTCCCTTACAGCCGCTGGGGCGTATGCCGAAGTATGGCACATGCTGGGTTTTTTTTTAAGTCCGTTCATGTTGATTCTTATCATCTGTTTATATAATAGTTTGGGGTTGATGTAATCTGTGCTGCTTATAGCTCGTTACCGTTCTCCGTCTGCGTGCGTCTTCGGCGTTTGCATAATTCATGAAATCAAGTATGTTCACAGACCCCTTGTTAGCACACGAGAGCTCACCATACGCACCTCCTTTCGAGCAGCGGTTCATCAGGAAGGTGCTTCGTATTTCTACCGTATCTATATGAAGCACATATTTAAAAAAAACCCACAAGCCGTACCATTTATTTTCTTTCTACTACACCGCCCGTAAGAAAGTAGAGGCAAACACGCCCTTCTCCAAGGGCGCTAGCATGGTTTATTTTTTCATTCATCCATTAGTTTATTCTTTCGGGGGTTCTGCGCTGGAAAAAAGTGCATCCATTAGACAGTGAGGGCTTTATTTATGAGGGTGGGGGGGCTTCAAAGGGGAGGCAGCCGAGTCCCAGAAGAGCCTTTCGCGGTGTATTCTCAGCGTGCTTCTGAGGCCGCTGCTCTGCTCATCAGGAGGAGAGGCAGAACCGCGGGCTTGACAGAGCAACCGTGTGTTTCCCCGGTCCCCGCGCTCACGGCCGTTTATTTACACACTGGGAGAGGAGATGGCTAGAACAGATGGCAACCAGACGTGGCCGTTCTGTTCCCTTCTGCTCCTCAGGGGTCTCTGCATTCGGTTTCTGCAAAAGCTCAGCCTACAGCAAGGAGAAAAAACCCCAGAGCCCGCTCACCCATACGAAAGGCTGGTGGGGACTTCACGGCAGCGACAGATTAAAGCACGTAGTGAAACGTTGTGTAATTACGAGATTTGTTTCATAGGTCCAGCTAGTCTGTCCCTATGACAGGTCTGCTGGCCCTTTCCTTTTATCCTCGTCAGGACGGATTGAACCCAGAGAGCCATTCCCTCTGGAAACTCAGTTGGAAGATAAAAAGGGACCTGGTTCTGAAGGGTCTTTGCTAGATCTTTGCCCTTCTTTGAAAAGTTTGCAGCTAAATTCATGCTTTTGCAGGAGACGGAATATCTGGAAATTTAAGAGGCTAAAAGGATGCTAGAGTGGTTTTCAAAGTTAAATTCATTGCATTTCTCACTGTTTTCTGGAAACTGAAATGTGCTTCCCTGCTACGTATTGTTTTCTCCCCTGGCTTGCCAAAGCAGGTGGGTTGGTGCAGGGCTTTTTTCTGAGCGCATGACCTTATTTTGTCATAAGCTTAGCATTTTCCAGGCAAAATCCTAACATGAAATATACCTTTTGTAAAGCAGTAGTAGAAAGGAGAGCAATATTAGCTCAGAATTCAGAGCCAGTCAAACTTTGCGCCTAGACGCCGTCCCTTCCAGTTGGAAACTTCTTGAGAAATTACTTGTTCAGAAAAACGAAGCTAGAAGTCTGGTGGTTGGGTCTGCGGAGCTCTGAGCCTCTTAACATGCAGCTCGTGGCATGACGGACTCCCACGGTTGGGGGGAAGCATGTGATGATTGCTTTGCAGTCCTTTGGAAAACCCCTGCAAATTCTGCAATGTTTCCACTGTATCAAACTTCAGTTATTCCCAGGATACGAACAGGCGCCTTGTTTATGTATGTGTCACTAACTTTATCCCAGGGTAAAAAAATTAAGCAAACAGATGATGCAAACCCCTAAGCCGAATGGGGGAAATGGCTTCTGCTGTAAGTTACACCGGTTCAGGTATTGTCTGTCTGCATCCTTCTCAGAGTAGCCAGAGTAATATTCACCTCCCATGAGCCACCCTGGGGTAGCTGCATGTCTGTGCCTTCCTGATCCTGATGCAAAACTAGTGTGATTCACACCACAGTCTGTGTGTTTGTCCATGCCCTGGTTAAGACCCCAAGATCTAATGTTGTGCTAAGTCCTGTATTGCAGTCCCTTCCAAGACAGTAGAAGAGATGGTCACATTTTCCTTCAGACCTGATAGAACAGCCACAGGCAAAGTCCGAATAGTGGTTTCTATGGGAAAAGTAGCCCTGCTCCTCCCATTATTACCATAGCATCAAAGTATTTAATAATAATCAGAAAGGCACCAAACACCATTCCTGCCCACAGAGCTTCAGTGGTCAGTGACTGCCTGACCAAGAAGTGAGGCCACCGACAGATGTTCATTGAATGGCATGATGGGATCTGATCCCTGCTCCCAACAATCGTGTATCCTGTGATTGTTAAAATTGGGGATAAAAGCTTGAATGGGTTGCCTGGCACGCAGATTTACATTTACAGAGCGAGGGGAACATGTTGGCATTCTCCACCTGGCATCTATAAACTGGTGCATAGGAAAACCCAGGCAGGCCTGCCCAACATGTAGGTTTCAACATGCCAAGAAGGTGGGCCCCATTACCTTCCCCCGCCTAGCACCTGTAAACCTACAAACATTGGGCTACACCACACACAGCTTTCAACTTGGCAAGTGGAGGGAGCCTATCAAGATTCCCCCTGCCCAGCACCAGTAAATCTGTCAACTTCCCAGCCACACATTCATTTTAAAGTGCCATACAAACCAGCCCCAAAGCTGTTCCATATTAAAGGGAACATTGCATGTGGAACAGCTTTGTGCCTGGTTTGCCTTTCTCTGGCTCAGAAAATTGGAATGTTCCCACCTATTGTGCGATGAACACACGAATCACATGTTAAATGTAATATCTGCGAGGAGCCTAAAAGCAACAAATACCAAGAAGGGGGGAAAGAAGAATGATGTTCCTGCGCCATGATTCTGGAATTAGTCCATCCAGGCCCATGGGCAGCTAGTCCCGCAGCAGCTGTTCTTTTTCAGAAGTGGTTTTGATAAAAGGAGGTTGGTCGCCTGCCTAATAGATTTTGGCAAAGAATCCCAACACACTTGCGAGGCACAGGTTGCTCGTGTGACTCTGCAAATTCCCCCTGTTCACACTTGCAGTGCACCAGGAGCTCGTGTGACTCTGGCGTCTGTCAGTGGCAGGAGTGCGGAAGCTGCCCTGCTTTACTCTATATGTGGCTATTCCAGTGTGATGTCTGCATGGGCCCTCGTAGCTTGGGATCCCTTTGAGGTCAAAGTTAGATGCAAATTTGTTCTCAGGACTTTGGTGCAGAGTGTGGTCGGCTTGCGGCAGGTGTATTGATGACCGAAGCAAGCCTGGCAGGGGGAGGTGAGTCACTGGAGGCGCCCAGCATTTGATTCTTCCAGTAAAAGTGACCTGCTTTAAACACAGATTGAAGTGGTTTGTGACCAGAGGTAGAGACAACACTGAGATTGCTGCAGATAGATCAGTGTTAGTATTAACTAAGATAGCAGCCATTGTAAGTATGACACAGCTTCAGGGCAGTGTTGAAGGCTAAGGCTGTGCCGGGGTCCCTACTACTTCTGGGGTGGCAGGAGCAGGATGAGATGAGATGATATCATGGACCTTGTGTCCTGTTCTTAGATGTTCATGCGCACTAAGAGCACTAGCTCACCTGTGACAACTGGTAGAATTTGATAACTTGCATCTAGGTATCATCTTTACCCCTCTATAAACAGGATACAACCATTACATCTTGCGGGCAGCGTTTGTTACTAAAGCCTTGCAAATCGACGAGTATGTGGTAATTGATGTCTCTGAAGCGTTTTCCTCTCATTCTCTGTCTGGCAGACTGACGTCTTGGTGCTGAGCTGTGATCTGATCACAGACGTTGCTTTACATGAAGTCGTCGATCTGTTTCGAGCCCACAATGCCATGCTCTCCATGTTGATGAAAAAAGCTCATGAACCGGTGGAAGTGGTACCAGGACAGAAAGGGAAAAAGGCCCCAGGTAAGGAGATGTTGGGTTGGGATTATGCAGGTGTTTAATACATGCATTTGCATATGTGATATGAGCTAGCGTCAGCTGAGGAGAGGTGAGAGTTTTCTAAATACAACCCAGATTCCCCTGTGCTGGCATCATCGTTGTTTGATGTCTGAAATTAATGCCTAGAGCGGCATGATCATGAAGATCTTGATCCAAAGCCTACTGAAGTTAATGGAACAGCTCCCGTTGACTTTAGCGAGTTTGGGGTCTGATTAGAAAGACATGGACTCACACAACACATAGAATGATTTAAATGCAGTTTAAACCTGAAGCAGACAAACATACAAGCCTGTTAATCCAGTTTAAATCCATCTTGGGCGGTTCAAAAGTGCACCTGGAAAATCAAGGTCTCTTGGGAAGCAATTTACTGTCATGTGTGGACACCAAGCGTTCTGTGAAATGGGACTTGCTCGGTCCTCCAGGCATCCCACGTTGCAGTGTTCTCCTCCCCCCTCCACAAATACATACAGTGCTGCAACTGGCTCTTCTGATATGTAGCCAGGACTCTACTATCCCATTTTCCCCTTCTGTTGCCACTTTTTATCCATGAGCTGCTCCCTTGTACTGCTTAGTCAGTAAAACCTATTTTCCTAACAGCCAGCAGTTTCCTCACTCGCCACTTGACCACGTCCCCTCCTCATGCCCATCAGCCTCTGGGACCCCAAAAGTGTGGGTCCAAGCACTTCTCCCTCTCCTCCCCCAAGCCAGTCAAGCTGACTACAGACTTTGGTCAGTCATAGGCTATTGAAGTTTATTGAACTCATGGTTAGGAGAGAAGGGAAAGCACAAAAGTGAAAACTCCCCCAGCTGCAGGTCACCCACCCCCTGGAATACCCAAAGTGTAGATGCAGACACCCTGCCCCGACTCGCCCACTACGAGGCAAGGGGCATGGTGTGCACTGGCGAGCAGCTTCCTGCTCTCATTTCCAGTATGGCTGGGACCAGCAGACCCAGGAGAAAGGCCAGCATTGCCCTTGGCTCTGCGGAAGTGGCACGCACACAGTTTGATCACACAAGAGCTGTGACAGCCCTGAGCATGTTGCATGCTGCTAAAATTGAAGGCGTCTCTGCAGTCTGTATACAAGGTGTTTCTCCAGTGTTTTTGTAACTTGGCCAGATGTAACAGTGGCCAAAGGCATGTTGTGGACATGAAGGCTACCCTCTGCTTGCACTCAGTTGCCCCATCACAGCCTGAGAGTGCTAGCATCCTGGAAAGAAAATGTCCCAAGAGTTTTGAAACATGGGGAGAACCATATCGTTCCTAGAGACAGCTGAGGTGGCTCGTCTGAACCCTTCCAAAACTTGAGCCTGGAGCAGCCCCCGGAATAGAACATTTCAGCACAAACAAAGTTTGATGAGGTTACAAGCAACCCAAGCCAGGATGTTACCATGGGAAAAGTCAGGCAGCCGTAATAACAGGCAGGACTGTCGGCTCCACCTGCAGCACTCTGCACTTGTGCAATGCTCTACGCCTTCAGAGAATGGTTCTGGTGTCAGTGGAAAATAAATCCTGAGATCTGGCAATCCCCCAACCTGTGTTCAGAGCCACCTTTGCTCTTAGATTAACAGCAAACATGATTGTCGTATAGATTTGTAGAAGCCAGAAGTAAGAAAGACCTACCAGATCTCCGCTGAGTGATTCCAGGTTGTGCTTTTTAGTACGTTACCTGTTGCTTTATATCTAAGGTGGAGAGAACAGCTCTAAAGCCAGCTCTTCAGAAATCGGGAGAAATTTGCCATTGTAACTGACTGTATGCAGCATTATTGGTTACAGAGGCCGAAGCAGGGAGGTCCTTCAGTTCTGATGCACTTGATGTTCTCCTTAAACGTCTGATGGTTCAGCCATGAGTTAATGGGTTCAGTGCAAGAATCTGGGTGAAGTTCTCTGGTTTTTGTTGCATGAGAAGCCAGATTACTGATTATAAATGGTCCCTCTGGCCTTCAAATGCATGACATGGAGCTGAGAGAAGCTAAGGAACGGTAGCAATTGATAGAGGCAGTGTGTTGAAGGACTATTTAGGGTGCCAGGTGATATTTTCTTCACCGTGTATTGAGCCCAAAGCCAACAAATCTGCACTGGATATATTGAACAATGTGACATTTCTTTTTGAGGTGTTGTCACCTGTAGGGTATAACAGCAAAAGATTAGTGTGTGTGTGTGTGTGTGTGTGTGTATCTGTTCCTTCAGATGTATGAAGGAAGTGTGAAAGGGTTGAAAGGGCCATTCTTCCTGCTTGTTCTTGCTAGAGAAGCAGTAGGGATGTTTACAAGTCTTCCCTGACTTTGCTGGGGGGCCATGGGTTGCGTGGCAGTGCGTGAATTCCT